CAAAAAAAACCTCAGGAAGTTAGGCTCTTTCTCCCTTGTTTGTTTTAATTTTCCTGTGGTATCCCCATGTTTTTCAAAATAGTCATTTGGAGGCCTAATTTGAGTGCCCTCAAATATAGTGTTAAATTTGACCTTGTTATTTTCCATCTTCTTCTAGAATAATGAATGATAAGCCTAGGCAATTGCTCTCCTCTCTGCAAAAACAATTTGTTGCATATATACTAGAAGATTTACCTGGAGTTGCTCGGGTCCTTAACTCAGATTTTGTTTTTCCCTCATTTAAATCATTGTTCTGGGTGGAGCTAGGGATGAGGGGTTCAATATGTAGGTTGCCCCAAAGAGAGAAGACTAGCCCAGCCCTCACTCACCAAAGCAGCTATGGGCACAGCTGGGGGAGGGATTCATGTCCCCCAGCTGAGGCAGATACAGGTTAATTTGTCCCCTGTGTCCCCCAGCCAGAGTGAGAGATACAATGAACTGCAGTTTTTCCCTCACACCCTGACCTAAGGGGCATAGCCAGCAAAAGGGCATATGGAGGTGGGAAGCTTGGAGCTGGGGCAGTCCCCGATGGCTTGCCTGGTGATTGTCTCTTTTTTGTATGGTTTAATGAGAAGTAATCCCATGCCAGGCACATCCCATTTTCCAGGCACAACCTTCTGTTTCAAATAATGAATGAGAGCATAGTCTGGTACTTTGACAAATGGTCCAGGTTCATAGTGAAAATTATTAGAAAGGCATTTTCTGGGAAATTTTTTTCTACAGAAAGAGCTTTGAAGAATTGCTGTTTCTGAAGTGTTAAAAGAATACCACTAACTTGGTGTTGATATTGATTTTTTTTTCCCCTCTAGCCCCATGTGGTCTGTGGAGATCAGCTTGTTCATAGCCCTTATATGCAGTGTCTGGCTTCACTCGCTGTGGGGCTTCACCTAGATCAGCTTTTGTGTAATCCACCAGTACCACCTCATTACCAGAGTTACCTCCCTGATCCCTCAGCTTGGAATCCTACAGAGTGGGCCTGGTTAGAATGTTTTTCTACTACGATAAAAGCTGCTGAAGCACTGGCCAAAGGAGTCCAATTTCCAGAATCCTTTACTGTTCCAGATCTGGAGCCTGTACCAGAGGATGAGCTTATGCTTCTAATGGTAATATGGACTACATTCTGCCAGTAGTATTTCCCTGTGCAGCTAATCTACTCCCTCTGTGTGTACTCAGTCATATCTATTTGTTTTACTAACTACAGTAAGTTTTTGTTAGTTGTCTTAGCCTGCAGAATTAACACGGAAAAGTGAGCTGGACTAATTCTAGTGCACAAATCAACAGAATTAATGAAGTTCCATTTGCAGAATCGATATTGTTGCATAAACCAGAGAGAACTTGGGTTGGCTTTGACAGTCCAAGAGACAGCTTTCAGGGCTGATAATTCATTCTTTTTTTTTAAAACACATGGAGAAAATGTTAAATGGAGTTGTTGAAAGGCAATGGCACCCTATTATGCCATTTTTAAAGTAGCTTTTCAGAGTAGTTCCATTTGCAGAATATCTGTTTTCTTTCTTACCTTAAGCTATTAACACCTATGTAAACTTTGTTTGAAATGTAATCATGCAGATGTCATGACTTAGGCCTTTTGTTCCAGTATTCAAAGCAGCCTAAAAGCTTTTAACCCATCTGAAATTTTGGTGCCACCTTATACAGCCTGTCCCAGCCCAAGAGAGAGTCCTATGTCTGCAGCTCAACTAAGGTGCTGTGCTGAGATGCACAGAGTTTGACTCTTGCTGCCTGATGGAAGCAAGTTAAGACACCCCAGACAAACTCCCCTCTGTCTCCACCTCACTGCACAGACAGCAGCACCGACCCTCCCGCTCGTTTCCCCATCTATCCCTTTCAATCATCCCCCCCCGCCCCGTCCCAGTCCATGTGGGAGCTAGGATAGAATCTTGCCTCTCGGAGTTGCAGACATTTGCAGCTATAGCCCAGCTGAGAGTCAAGACAGGAGAACACACCACAAACAACTCCCCACCACCACCACCTCACCACCAGCAGCACCCACTCACCCCTTATTCCCCCTCACTTACCCTATGCAGTCTGCTAGCCCAGGAAGCTAGAGGAGAGTGCTGGGTTTCTTCACTGGAAGCTGCAGGCAATCCCAACTGCTATAATCAGACCTCTGTAATCAAACTTCTCTCTAAGACACTCAGCTGGGAGACTGCAGACTCCAAACTCCCCTTTCCTCTGGCCCCTTCCCGTGTTACTCTGTCCCTTCCTCCTCCTCATGTCCCCTTCCCTACCAGTGTGCCCATTGTCTGGAGCTGCTTCTGCTGAGTGAGTGCCCTTCCCCAGCCAGGAACCTCTCTGCGTGGCAGCCCGAAGCCTTACAGGGAACTTGGGTTGGAACCTCAGCGACTCCCTGATTTTCACACCTCAAGCTCTTATATAGTTTTCTTATTTTATTTCCTTACTTTCTGTTTTTATTTTTATTATTTTATTATTATTTAAAAAAAAGCGAATTTGAACCCTTGTGCTTTTCGCCGCCTCCGTTGGAGCCCAGCAATAAACATGTCATTTTAAAAAACGAATTTGAACCCTTGTGCCTTTTGCCGCCTCCGTTGGAGCCCAGCAATAAACATGTCAGGCTCCCTGGGATTCAAACATTGCATGTCTTGCAGATTGCCTATCCTGATTTTGGATGGATATTCATAGTGCATCCATTGTGTGAGTGAGGCATACACCCCACAGAAGTGTAAAACGTTGTCAGAAGGGTCCCTAAAACCCAGAGCTGAATGACTAAACAACCGAAGCTGCACAAGTGAGCAGCTGAACAACTGAAAAGTTTCTTAATGGAGAAATCTCTCAAGCCAGCTTCAGATCTAGAGTCCAGATCTCCTCCATGAAAGACTTCTCCAGCAGTGGTCTCAGACCAAGGATGTCATCCATCTCCAGAATCCAAGCAGCCTACAAAACATAGTCTCCCAACTGCTGAGAGAGAACAAGTAAAGAGAGCCTTTCTGCTAGCAAGAAAGCATCCCCGATACTGTCTGTACCGTCTGCCTTGGATCAAGAGGCACTGGGAACATCAGGCACACAGATATCCTGAGGGGGTAAAGACTAAAGACGGGCAAGATCCTACTTTGGGTATGTGAGCAAAGAGACAAGCTTCTAACTCAGGATCATCAGCACTGAAAAAGTTGTAAAGACTAAAGATGGGCAAGATCCTACTTTGGGTATATGAGCAAAGAGACAAGCTTCTAGCTCAGGATCATCAGCACTGAAAAAGTTGGCACCAGCTTCCTCTAAGGCGCCGTCACTATCTGCAGTTGCACAAATCCCCAGCACCACTGAAACAGACAGTGCCTACCTTGGCACTGACGTTTGTGGTACTGCCACCATTTACCACACATGCAAGTTAACATTAATCTTAGTACCAGGAGCACCTGTTGCTTGATACTGATACCACCGTTCACTCAGCCCTACCTTGGTCACTGGATAGCTCATCACCACCATTCTCATCTCATGAGGAAGAGGAAGGTAGAGGCAACACCATGCACCCCACGGCACTCCTCCTCGAAGCAACCTCACCAGACCTCATCTTTTCCATCTCACCTGTGGCAGCCTTCCCAAGGAATGCCCCCACCATCCACTTTGCCATTCTGGGGCTCTTGGGCACAATATAGAGCTCAACTCCAGGCTACTCCCAATCCCACATTACCTCCCACTACTCAGTCACTGTCTCCATCTGCTCCTTCTCATGTTGAAAGACCAGGACAAGCTGGATGACATACCTGAACAAAAAAGCTTGTTATATACACACATCTCATCCTCCTTCTCACACTAAACCATAATGCCCCCAACCACTAACTACTGGGGATGATTTTAAATAGTTTCTAAGAGGGTGGTACACTCCCTAGACATTTCTTCGACTGAGTTACCAGGGACCCAACACAAACTTACAGATATGATTTGTGCATCCCTGTCCAGTAAAGCATCTCTCCCCATCAATGAGGCCATTATGGATCCCATCAGAGTAATGTGGTAGATATATCTGTCATGATCCCACTAGCTTCCATGAGGGCAGATAATAAATATGTCTCAGCCAATGGGGCAGAATTTTTGTTCACCCACCCATCTTCTGATTCTCTTATAGATGAGGCTGTGTACCACGGGAACAAGCAAATACAGTTTAAATCAACTCCATCTGACACAGACTTGGAAGTCTATATATCTTTGGGAGGAAATCCTATTCCACAGCCTCCTTCCAGTTCCAGTGACCTATACAGTGCTCTTTGCAAAATATACATACAGTCTGTTTGATAACATGAAAACTTTTATTGACAAACTGAGAGGATTCTTGGGAACAATACAGGGCCAGCATTGCTGAGGACTTTCTCATAGTGAAGATAGTATTGCAGGCCTCCTTGGACTTGGCGGACACAGCAACTCTATCCTTGGCCACGGCTATGGTGATGTGCTGTATCTTCTGGCTCCATCTTTCAGGCTTCCCTGAAGAGGTGCAAAATACAGATGAGGAATCTTCCCTTTGAAGGACAGAAGCTATTTGTAGAATCCACCGATGCATCCCTACATTTACTAAAGGATTCTCATTCCTTGCTGAAAATCCTAGGCATGTACATCCATCAACTAAAGAAAAAACAGGGAAGGTATTACACCCAACATATCTGCTCACAGGCACAAAGGGCGTATGACCAACGCCAGAGACGAAGGCAACCACAATGGCACTAGACCCCATAACAGAAATCTTCATTCCAATCTTCTATCTCAAAGCAATCATTTTTGAAATCTTGGTCAAGACCTCTTTCATTAACTCAGCACACTGAAAAAATGGTAGGCTGTAAACACCAGCTGTTACCATAATAACCCATCTGGTGCAACTTTACCTCACATGGATGGGTTTTGGACATAGTCCTCAGAGGGTACTCCATCCCATATACCTCTATCCCACATACTCATCTACCTTTGCAGTCCCTCTTCAGGGACCATTCCCACAAGACCCTGTTGCAAGAGGAAGTTGCTCACCTCAACACAGGGAAATGAGGATTTTATTCCTGCTATTTTCTTACACCAAAAATATGGGTATTGGGGTATTTTTTTTTACACAAATCCTGGATTTGTGTCAACTGAACAAATTCCTTCACCACCAACATTTCATAATGGCTACACTGACAACAGGGAGATTGGCTGTCATCCTTTGAACTTCAGGAAGCATATTTTCATAGAACCATACACCCTGCACACAGGAAACTCCTCTGTTTTATGCTTAGGCAATCAGCATCAATATTGAGTCCTACCTTTAGGCATAGTGCCAAGAATCTTCCCCAAAATCATCATAGTTGCAGCCACCCAATTATGCAAATCGGGCAGCAAAATATCCCCATACCTAGATGATTGTCTAATAGTGGTATCATCCCTCCAAGAGTCAACATCATCCTTACAGTGCAATTAATGAACACCATAGGATATCAGAGGTCCCAAAGGTACCAGAAGTCCCATCTCATCCTGACTCAAAAGCTGGACTTTATCGGTGCACAACTGGACACGTTACAAACCAGGGCAGAGCTTCCCCAACCACATTCCCAAGCTTTAATCAACCTAATTGTGACCATCATGCAAAACAATATTTTCACAGACGATATGGCATGGATGTACTATATAAACTGCCACGGCATAGCACAATCATCTATTATTCATGGAAACTGTACGTTTTTGGATATGGTGCATAGCCAACCTATAAATATCTCTGCAATATATCTTCTCAGGAAGTAGACCATTGTGGAGAGTTTCAGAAGATACTTCCACCAGAATCACTAGTGGCAGTTGAACTCACACATAGGACAAGAAATAATGGGCTTAAACTGCAGCATGGGAGGTTTAGGTTGGACATTAGAAAAAATGTCCTAACTTTCAGGGTGGTTAAACACTGAAACAAGTTGCCTAAGGAGGTTGTGGAATCTCCATCTCTGGAGATATTTAAGAACAGTTTGGATAGACATCTATCAGGGATGGTAAGGTGCTTGGTCCTGCTGTGAGGACAGGGGACTGAACTCAGTGACCTCTCAAGGTCCCTTCCAGTTCTAGTATTCTATGATTCTATATTAAATACCATATTTCAACAAGGGAGATTTTCTAGCTACAGACCTCTTCACAACTGCCAACACCACCAAATACCCAGTACACTGCTTCTGAATGGGCCTGGGCAAATGCTCATTGGGAGACATCAGATGGGATGCTCCCCTCTTCTATGCATTCCTCCCACACCTCTCATCCACTGAGTTCTCTACAGAATACAGCAAGACAATGCACATGTCTTCTTAATGGCATCTGTATGAGCCAGATACATCTGGTTTCCATACTCAACCCAACTGTCAGTGTACCCTCTACATCTACCACAAATTCCTCACCTACTCTCCCAGGACAGGGCAGACTTCTCCACCCACAAGTCACAGTCCATCAACTCAGAACTTGGCTCCTCCAGGGCTAGTAAGACTTGAATAACAATGTTCAGAAGAAGTACAATCAATCCCAATCAGTGGTTGCAAACCCAATACCCAAAAATTTTGATGAATTATGGCACCGTTTCCACATTTAGTGTGTGTGCATTACAGACCCTGTCACTTTGCTCAGTCTCATTACCACCAAGGATTTTGGATTATATACTAAACCTCAAACAGTAAGATCTTGCTAATAGCTCAGTAACAGTATACTTAGCAGCCATCTCTGAGGCATCAAAAAATCGAATACACCTCATATGCACATACAACCACAAAGTGCTTCATGTAAGGATGGAGCAACACTTTCCCACCAGTAAAACAAGCTACTACAATGTGGGACCTTAATGTGGTACTTTGCATGCTTATGGACAAAGCATTCGAGCCTCTAGCCATATGCTCCGTCTTACACCTCTCAATGAAGGAATCCTTCCTCAGTGCAATTTCTACACCAGAAGAGTAGAACTGAGCTAGCTGCTCTCGTGGCAGATCCCCCCATATGTTATTTCCAAAAAAGTCATACTATGATTCCACCCCAAATTTCTCCCTAAGATAGTATCACCCTTCCACTTAAATCAGTCCATTTACTTACCTGTATTTTTCCCAAAGCTACACATGGACAACTCCCTTGGTTTCACTTAGAGAGAACAAGGACATTCAGGAAATTCCCACAACTAGTTCTCTCCACTGCTGAACGATCCAAAGGAGAACCCATGTTCAAACAAAGACTCTCTAATTGAATTTTACAATTCATACACTGGTGCTATGAAATTAACAATATTCCTCCTCCTCAAAAGGTCTGCATACATTCTACTTGAGCCATTTCCACATCCTGGGCGAAGTTTGGACAGTCCATATTAGCAGTGGCGCATATACATCGCAAACCCCCACTTTCTACAATATACTGCTGTATAGTCATCTAATGTCGGATGCTACTCGAAGAAGAGAGGGTCACTCACCTTGTGCAGTCACTGAGGTTCTTTGAGGTGCTTGTCCCTCTCGGTGCTCCATGGCCCTCCCTCATTCCCTTTGCTTTGGATCATTCTCAGTCGGCTCGGTGCTCCATGGCTCTCCCTCATCCCCTTTGCTTTGGATCATTCTCAGTCGGGTAGAGAAGGAACTGAGGGACAGTTGACGGTGCATGGCGGTCAGCCTCTCTCATGTGCCGCCAACACCACTTATGCTGATACTAATGCTAAAAATCTCTTAACTATAAGTGCAGGGTGCCAAAATACCTAATCTAGAGCTCCCACAAGGACAACCATCTCAACTTCACTCATTGCACAAGGTGAGTAACGCTTTTTACCATAAGTGGGTTTAGACACTGATGAGTCAGAATTTTTTCTTAGGATAACAATAATAAATGTTAGATTGAAAAAAGTAAGTCAACCCCCAGGAGACAACAGTGTGTCAAGTTTACATGACTAATACTGAGTAAGATTGAATTTATAAAAATAATTTATACATAATTTTCTTTTATTCACAGTTAATCTTTTTTATATTTATGTTCAAAAGCAGTTTATTCAGTAATAGATTCCTATAACTGATTTTCATTGAGGAAAAGGCTTGTTGTTTGATGGAAAATCAATATTATTAACTGAAAAAATAATATACAAATTGTGGGCTGTCTCTAATATACCTGTTATTAAATCATTTAGGATAACAGTAAATGGATTAATGGTATGGATGAACAGATTATGGCTTGGGCAACTTCAAGGCCTGAGGTTAGTAACATTGATTATATTGAATGTAAAGTATTAAAATTATCAAAATTATCAAGTACTTTTTACGCTGTTTTATAGGATTGGCACCTTGGCGGCAAATGTGATGTGTATCTGTGGGGAGCAGGACGCCATGGGCAGCTAGCAGAGGCTGGTAGAAATGTCATGATACCAGTAGCAGCACCTTCATTCTCACAGGCTCAACAGGTAATAGTGTTAGGAGAGATTTACATTTTATTCTTCACAAATTACCTTATTTTCTGTTGTACAAAATAGCCATCAAGCTCCCATTTGGGCTTGGTGCTAATTTTTAAAAAAATAGAACCCTAAACCTATAATGTACTTATCCCCAGTTATGGAAGTTTGATCCGGTTTCTCCTTGTTCTTGTCAATTTCACACCAAGAAACTGTTCAAAAACTGACAAAATTATTTCTTAGGATTAGAGAGAGTATAATATAAAAATATCTGTACAGTTTTGATGTAATCCTAGTTGCAAGATTATTTGCTGAAATAATTTGTTGCTGGAGCACCAGGTGAAATAATGAGTCAATCAAATTACTGCAAGAAATATACTGAAAGTGTCACTAGAGAACATGCTACCAAACCAAATAGATTTGCAGAGAAAGGGAGAATCTTTTTATAGCTAGTTCATGAAGAGAGCTTTTTGTTTGTAGTGCCATTTTTTGATCTCCAGGGGCTCACTTCATCCAAAACTCTCAATAAAAGAAGTTTATTATGATGTGATTGTGTGGGAAAAGCCCTTTAGTTTACAACACATTTTTCTGCTAAATTCAGAATTAATGAAATCACAGATGATTAAATTAAGAAATATGTTGTTGGTCTCCCAAACTTATTTCTGTAGTGAAATGCTTTATGGTTTCAATTCAGGTTATGAATAAAGACAAAATTAGCACAATTTAATTTCTTTCTTTAACCAGGTTATTTGTGGTCAGAACTGTACCTTTGTCATTCAAGCGAACGGTACAGTTTTGGCTTGTGGAGAAGGGAGTTATGGCCGTTTGGGCCAAGGAAATTCTGATGATCTTCATGTTTTAACTGTTATTTCAGCACTTCAAGGTAAAGTTGTCTTAATTTTTTATTTTAGTTCTGTTAGTAAGGCAGAAGTTCACATTTCAAAAATTAAAAGGACAATTGTCTATGTTAAGTCTTTGCAGATTTACTGAATAAAATAATTTATTTACTCTCTTTATTGAAGATCTTATATTAATGTTATTTGGACAAATAATTAGATTTTTGCATCTCATTTATTCAAGCTGTAATTAGCAATGGTTTTAAACTCCATTATTCATCATTTTTTTAAGTAGGACTGAAAAATGAAATACACTTATGTAACTGAACGCCTAAACAAACTTTATTTTTGCAGAGTTCAGCATAAATTACATTTTAGTTACAATACATTGGCATGTGGATTTGGGCAGTGCTTTCAAGAAGAGGACTTTGTGTCACATAACTTGATTAACACAAATACAAGATAATGAATAAATAATTCCTTAGAAAACGTTATCCGCTAATAGCACAGATACTATATAATTTTGACTGGATTTTAGGCAATAAAAAGTAAATTTATCACAACAGCACTTTGTCCACATAGAAGAACACAGTAGCAACATTGAAGAGAGCTTTAATAGCATTTGGACTGCTGGTGTCCATCATGTTTGAAATTTTGGAAAAAGTAATACATGGGTTAAAAAACATTGTCAAAGGACAGGTACTTAAAACCAAGTGACTTATGCTCATTTCCTATATAATTTTTTCTCTCTAAGTTTTAATTTATATCAAAATGTAGTTCTAAAAACATTTTCCAGATATTATCAAAGGTCTGCTGGTACTCTCTTGTATCATTAAATCCTGTTTTCCATAATTTGCTAAATATGGCTTAATGTTTCCATAACAGATAATACAGCCTAAAGGTAATAGTCACAAACTTTGTTTCATTTTTAAATGGGGGTTACGTACTACATAAATTAAATTGGACTTTTGGAGCTTAGTGTGGCATTATAGTCCTTAATAATTATGAGTACCTTTTTGTTTGGGTAAGTTAGGAGGATTTGAAAACCAGTGGCAGACCAGAATTGCTACTTGTACAGGAGAGGACAGCGAAAAGTTTCTTAGAGCAGCAGTAAAAGAGAGACTGTGTATGGAGTTGTATATACAGAGCTGATTCCATTGTAATTGTTATGGATATTTTAAACAATGCAACAGAATAGAATTTATATTTCTAACGTATTCTGGTTTTGTTTTTCATTTTGTTAAAGGTTTTGTTGTAACACAGCTAGTGACCTCTTGTGGATCTGATGGACATTCCATGGCTTTAACAGAAAGTGGCGAGGTCTTCAGTTGGGGAGATGGAGATTATGGTAAACTTGGCCATGGGAACAGTGACAGACAGCGCAGACCCAGACAAATAGAGGCCTTACAAGGAGAAGAAGTGGCACAGGTTCATATTATTCACCTATTAAATGTAGACGTGATAGTTGCTGCTAGGAACATTAGGTAGAGCTCATTGTAAAATGCTGATGGGCAAGTGAATGGCTCCCATGAGATGGCTCCCAAGTGGATTGACAGGTTGATGGTGGAGCCTTTTTCTTCAATGCCAAAAAATGAATTCAGCACAAGTTAGGAATGAATGAAAGAAGTCATCAGCTGATAGCACTCTTTCAGCTTAGAATGTCAAGAGCTCAAAACTCGCCATTGTGTTTAACACTAATTGTATCTCGATTGTACTGTGAATTGTCTCAAGAAGTCTGAAAATTTGAATGAGAATTTGAAACTGAAATATTTTCACAATACTAGTGGGGAAGGGTTAAAGTCTAGTTGGACTAGTAGAGTAGCATTGGTGAAGTTTCCATTGCTCCCGTCTGAGCTGCACCTTTCAGTCTCTAGGGCTCCTGCAGGTATTTAGCCTTAGAATAATAGAATCATAGGGTTGGAAGAGACATCAGGAGGCCTTTGAGTCCAACCCCCTGTGCAAAGCAGGACCAACCCCAAATACATCTTTCCAGCCAGGCTTTGTCAAGCCCTGGAGGTTAGCATTCCCAAGCAAATTCTTTCTAAGAAGACCCAGTCCTGGCACACTGGGTATTAATGGAATGCTCAAGGAACATAAGGCTGTTGCAAAGCAGCTAAATGAATTATTTGCATTGGTCTTCATTGCTAAGGAGGTGAGGGAGACTCCCATACTTCAACCATTCTGAGGAACTGTTTCAGATTGAGAAGTCAGTAGAGGAGATTTGGAACAAATGGATAAATTGAATAGTAATAAGTCATCAGGACCACATCATATTCACCAAAGAGTTCTGAAAGAACTCGTGTGAAATTACATAACTATTACTAGTAATATGTAATTTACCACTTAAATTAGCCTATCTAGCAGATAACTGGCAGATCACTAATGTGATGGCCATTTTTTAAAAAGCCTCGAGAGGTGATCCTCACAATTACAGGGCAGTAAGCCTGACTTCAGTACCAGTCATATTGGTGTAACCTATCATAAAGAACAGAATGTTGGAAAGAGTCGATATGGATTTTATAAATGAAAAACATGCCTCGTCAAACTATTCAAATTATGTAAGGGTATCAACAAATATATGGACAATGGTGATCCAGTGGATATAGCATACTTGGATTTTCAGAAAGTCTTTGACAAGTTCCCTCACCAGAAGCTCTTAAGCAAAGGTAGTCTTGAGATAAGAAGGAAGGTCCGCTAATAAATCAGTAAGTGGTTAAAAGAAAAGAGAAAGGGGGAATAAAGTTTTTACAGTGGAGAGTAGCAGGATCCCAAGAGATTTGTAGTGTGACCAATGCAGTTCATCATAGTCATAAATAATCTGGAAAAGAGCCTCATTAGTAAGGAGGCAAAGTTTGCACACTATACAACATTTCTAAAGATAGTTAAGTCCAAAGCAGATTGTGACTGGGTGACTTGGAAACAAAATAGATGAAATTCAGCACTGATAAATGTAAAGAAATACACATTGGAAAACAGAGACCCAACTATATTTACAAAATGATGGCCTCAATTGATTGTTATCACTCAGGGAAGAGATCTTGGAGACATCTTCTAAAAATATCTGCTCACTGTGCAGGAACAATTAAAAAAGCTGTCACAATGTTAGGAAAAGTATAAATAATAAGATGGAAAATATTGTAGTGCCACTGTATAAATCCATGCTCTCTCTGCACTTTGATAATAATACTATGTGGGGAAAAATACAGAAGAAGGCTATTAAAAGGATTAGAGATAGGGAACAGCTTCCATATAAGGAAAGATTTAAAAACTGCCTGTTCACCTTGGAAGAGAGATAACTGAGGTGATGGGAGGGGGTGGGGGATATGATTGTGATGCATACAGTTATGAGACTGCATGGAGAAAGTTGAATAGTGAAATGTTATTTTCCCCTTCTCACAAGAACCAATTAAATTGATAGGAAGAAGGTTTAATACAAAAACAAAAACTCTCCACACAATACACAGTCAGCCTGTGAAACTCATTGTTGCAACTGTTCTGAAGGCCAAAACTATAAGTTTAAAAAAAGTATTAGATAAATTCATGGAAGATATGTCTGTCCCTGGCTGTTAGATAAGATAGTCAAGGATGCAGTTCCATGTTCTGGGTACCCATGAACTTCTGACTGCTGGAATCTGGGCTAAATGACAAGAGAGAAATCACTCAGTGAATTGCCCTGTTCTGTGCACTCTCTCTGAAGCATCTAAAACTTTCCATTGTTGGAAGACAGGATACTGTACTAGATCATTGGTTTGATTTGGTATCGTAGTTATGTCAAACTAGCCTTTTTCATTAGGGATATTAAATTTAGATTAATTGGGTAATCGAATAGTCGATGCAATTTGCTGTCGATACACTTTAAAGGTGAAAGTGCTGTGGGGAGCAGAGGACCATAGAGGGACTCAAGCAGTCCCCCGCTGGCCCTATGTTCCCTGCGGTGTTTCAAACCAGCAGCACTGCATGGTGCCGAGGGTCAGTGGGGGAGTCTCTAACTGATCCCGGGCTTCATACAGCGCTGATGCTTTGAAACACTGCATGGAGCCCAGGCCAGCTGGGGGCTGCACATGACACTGCCACTTTGAAATGCTGCGTGCAGCCCCAGGCCAGCAAAGTGGTAGTGCTGCATGGAGCCCAGGGTCTGGCCCTGGGCTGCATGTGGCACTGGCACTTTGAAGCATCCTCTCCTCCCCTGTCCCTCCTCTGCCTCTTTCTGATAGAGGCAGCAAGAGGGGAAGGCGACTAGTCATTCACATCCCTATTTTTCACCAGCTCTAAATTCACTTAAATTGTGAAATATTAATACTGATATATCTATTGTAACAATATCCAAAAAGTGCTGGTTTGGGCTGTTGATGTCTTTAACCAAATTTATATAATAAAATTAAATAAAAAATATATAATAACATTAAAAAGCAAAGCCAGCAGCCAGTCCGCACCCACACAAACAATAACAAAATCATTAAAAATCAATCTCAATAAAGTTTTCTTTCCCACACAAATATCAGCCCATTTTCATGCCCTTCCCTCTTCAAAAAGTCTAGGTAGATAAATAGGGTCACAGCATGTTTGGAGGTCAAGAAAATCAGGCTGTTTCAGATCAGGTTGAGGAGTGATTCCAAAATGGAGGACAAGTTGTGAAGATTGCACTGAGGCAGCTCCCTCTTCTGTACTAAGGGACTGCAGCACAGGCAGATATGCTGATTGCATCTGTGCAATATATCTGTATTTGGCTTGAATAATTGACAGTACATAATTTTAATTTCAATTACCATCATATTTGCTAGCATTTGGTTCAGTTTTGGTTTGAAGTTGTTAGTAAATATGACTGATATACTGTGCTGACTGTCTTGACAACTGAATCTTCATGCTTAGCTGCATCTGTTTTCAATTATTGAAGCACTATACAAATAAGACGTGATTGATTTTTCTGTATACTTGAAATATAAAATAGCTTTGTGCATCTATATGGTAGTGACTGGCTAATAATGACTACTACTATTTTATATCACTAAAATGAACTATTTTTCTGAAAATACCGTTAAAAATACTCTTTTTAGCAATAGTCTTAATTTTGGAAAAAATTATACATTTCTTATATCTAATATTGCACATTTCACAGATTACAAATAAAAGTTCAAAACATTCTGCATTATTAGTCTGTAAGTAGTTGATATGTATATGAGCAGGAATAGTATTGCAAATAAAATTGCATTTTATCTTCTATAGTGTGACTCGTTAGAAAAGTTTTCTATCTTTTTATTTTTGGTGTAGGAAATGAGCTGACTTATCAGACATAGTATGTCTGATGACCTTGTATATTATGCACTGTATTGAGATCTTACTTGACAAACCTGGCATAATAGTGTCTAAATCCTTGACTGAGAGAGAGAATTCTTTTCTTACCTTTCAAAACCCTTCATTTTCAGTTTTTACTAATTTTTTTACTAAAAAATTCTTGGATTTTACAAAAGCTATTATTTCATTTTTAATAATTTCCCCCCAATTTTGAACTATTGAAAATTATATTAAGAAATTTAATATATTGCATTAGGTAAATCTCTGCTTTCTTTGTCCTATCATGCCCCAATATTCATTCAGAAAACAGTTAATTTTTAATTAAGTTGATTTTTTGCTCTGAATTCTTTAAAAAAAATGTCATGAACGCCAATAAATTCCTGAGAATATTTAAAATAAAAACTGAAAACAGTTCTTTTTTAGAAGTAATTATTTTTCGACTAAAATGGGGAACAGAAGACAGGTGGCGAATTTACACAGTATATAAGCGACCTGGTAATGTAATACAGTCAGTCCCCGGGTTACGTACAAGATAGGGACTGAAGGTTTGTTCAGCAGCAGCTGACTTGGGGACACCTGGGGTAGAGCAGCTGGGGTGCTGCCGGGTTGATCCAGTAGCGCCAAGGAGCGGCGCTGCGGGACCAACCCAGCAGCACCCCAGCTGCTCTGCCCCAGGTGTCCCCAAGAGCAGCTTGGGTGCTGCCTGGTTGGTCTCGCCATGCCAAGGGTCGGCATTACCCCGACCAACCCGGCAGCACTCCAGCTGCTCTGCCCCAGGCGTCCCCGATTCAGCCACTGCTGGTCAGTTTCAGCAGTGGCTGAATCAGGGACGCCTGCGGCAGAGCATCTGGGGGGCTGGCGGGGTGGGTCCCCTGTCTACCTGGTCTGCCTGAGGGAGCCTCCCCCCCCCAGCATACCAGGGAGACGCGGAGCAGCTTTTCTCGCCCTGGAGGACGCGGGAGGCGGGACCGTGGCGCATCTGAGCGTCCCGCTGCTCCCGTCCTCCGGGGCGAGAAAAGCCCTGTTCGTAACTGCGGATCCGACATAAGTCGGATCCGCGTAACTCGGGGACTGCCTGTACTGGAAATCAAGGCAAATCATTTAGCATGGTTTTTGAAAGAATTAATCTCAGAAATATTAATAAGAATCCCAACTAGGTGTCCGGGTACAAATTGAAGAAGTGAATTCAAAGTCCTTTCTTCACTGTGTAAACTGAGAATTGGGAGGGTTGGGGGAAAAAACTCTTTTGTCTTTGATTATTATTTGATTCCAAATGTATTCAGATTTCTTAGTTATTTTATGACATTGTTATTGAAATACAAAAAAGTATATGAAACAGGTAATTTATTCACTTAATCAAGTTTTGTATTTATCCTCTTAAGCTTATAATGAATGATTGGATCTGCATTTATGAAGTTCTATTCTCCTTTTTCTTGAACTGTCTCACTAATATTCCATTTTAAAATGAATATTTATTCTGGCTTCTAGATGTCATGTGGCTTTAAACACTCAGCAGTGGTGACAGCAGATGGAAAACTGTTCACATTTGGAAATGGTGACTATGGTCGATTGGGTCTAGGAAACACTTCCAACAAGAAACTTCCTGAAAGAGTCACAGCACTGGAGGGTTACCAGATTGGACAGGCATGGTTTCTTTAGTGTTACTTGCATGCAATTATGTGACCAAAATATGTTTTGTTAATAGCTCCTATGCCTGAGGATGTTAAGTTGCTAGTAGTGCCAGTTTAAAAATTCTCTTTATAATTTATGTTGATCATTTTTACTGCCTCAGCATTTTAATATACTCAGTGTTCAAATATCTAACCATAAAACAGTAGTCGCTCATTATTATGTTTAAAGAACTGCAATAAGGATATATAGTTTGAAAGCTGTTTTATGGCTTGGGTGAGGGAAGAACTGTCTAAAGATTATCTACGGGTGATTAATGTATTAATCTTTCTACGTTTCTTGTACATAAAATTTTAAAGGTATTAACATTTAACGTTTAGGAAAAAATGTCTGAAAAAGATTTCAGGGTTTTTTTGTAATATGGCATTTTATTTTTTTATATCAGTAAGTTGGCAAAAAAAAATTAAACCTATATTACACTTAACCAGGTGGCCTGTGGACTAAACCATACTGTTGTTGTGTCCACTGATGGCTCAATGGTGTGGGCTTTTGGAGATGGAGATTATGGAAAACTTGGTCTGGGAAACTCTACAGCAAAGTCCTCACCGCAGGTTAGAATTTGTACCAGAAATATCTTTTGAATAATTTCATGTTGTCTGTTAATGTATGGTTGCAAGTTTTCAACTTCTGATTTTTTTTTCATTTTTTTAAATCTGATGTAAATTTTCAAAAAAGCTAAAGTAATTTTCAGTGAGACTTAGCTGCATTTGAAGACTTTACCATGGCTATATATTAACTAGCAGAATTACGTGAATCACTAGCAGGTATTTTTACAACACTAATGTCTCAGGTTTGAGTTTTCAAAAGCTTGTGGGAATTAGTTACCCAACTTGCATTTAAAATTCCTGCCTGAGTGCAATTATCCATTGTTTTGTTAAACTGAGAATAATAAATGATGCACAGTTCTCCACCTTTCTGCAGCTCTAGAAATAGTGAAAATCTAAAGGCTAGCTTGAAGGAAGACAAATTTTTACCTCAGAATATAGATGCATTCCGACTAATTTAACATGGAGTTATGTGTTAAGATAATGGAATTTTACAAGAACTTAATGTCTTTGTTGAACGTCTTCAAGCTTAATACAGGAACCAGACTAAAACTATAATATACTATTTGTATTTCTGTGTATTATAATCACTTTTTTGAGGGATGGGGGAAATGAAGAGTTTTTTCCCTCTGCTTTTCATTTGTATACTCATAGTGGAATATTTGGCACTTTTTTCTTCTTAGAAAGTGGATATTCTTTGTGGAATTGGAATAAAGAAAGTTGCCTGTGGAACACAATTTTCTGTGGCATTGACAAAAGATGGTCATGTATATACTTTTGGACAAGGTAAGCTGTCCATATAAGAGAGTTCTATATTTGTAGGCTTTTATACATTTAAAGATATATAGAAGCCAGTAATGTTTTAAATTTATTGCCCCTTACATATTATACTTGCCTAACCATACATTACATAAGTATCAATTATTGTTCTATAATTTTCACCACTCGTGTGTAGCCATTAATATGGTCATTAAATGTAAAAAGGAAGAATATATGAAATCACAATAGACTGTTACTCTAGATTTGTGCTAGAGCCTTGTGTAAATGTGGCTTTTTGAGACAAATTATTTTTTAAAACATTCTTAAATTCAGATTATTAGCTATACAGGCAGTCCCCAGGTTACGTACGAGATAGGGACTGTAGGTTTGTTCTTAAGTTGAATCTGTATATAAGTCGGAACTGGCATCCAGATTCAGCCGCTGCTGAAACTGACCAGCGGCTGACTACAGGAAGCCCGAGGCAGAGTTGCTCTGGCGTCCTCAGAGGCTTTGCTCCCCGTCTCCCTGGTCTGCTGGTCTCCAGCAGACCAGGGAGACGGTTCATAACTGCGGATCCGACATAAGTCGGATCCGCGTAACTCGGGGACTGCCTGTATACCCGTTTTTCAATTAAAGCAAACTTAACATATACTAAGCTAATTTTCTTTATCTATAACCTTTGAAATGTTTTCCTGAATCTTGATTAAATTCAATGAGAGTGGAGGTAATGGATTGTTGTCCCTGTGTTCAATTACTGTCGTTAACCATGCACTTACAGAGGCTGTATATAAATCTCTAGAATTGAGGCTCTAAGTAAAATTAGTTAAATGTTTTAATTTATCCCCTTGTGAACATTAGCCTGCATCACAAAATCACTATTCAATCTAGCACCAATAAGTGTGCTTGGCTGTATCAAGCTTAACACACACAAATTTCATATCTTAAAAGAATACTATCCATCTCTCCTCATAATAATATTAACCCTTAGAAAGGACTGTAGTGTTTATATACTACATGAGAAATTTTTTTGTGAAATTTTAGATCGACTGATTGGCTTGCCTGAGGGCCGAGCTCGAAATCATAACAGACCACAGCAAGTTCCAGTGCTCTCAGGAATCTTCATTGAAGATATAGCTGTAGGAGCAGAGCATACACTAGCTTTATCATCATCTGGTGATGTGTATGCTTGGGGTAGCAACTCGGAAGGGCAGGTGTGTACAATATCATGTTTTTCAGGTGTTCATAATGACAAGTATTGCTTCCTAGATACACATGGAATCTTTTGGTGAAAAGTAAGTAAAGAAAAAAAAATTCAGTATTGGCACTCTTTCGCCTCCCCCAAATTAAAATGTTGTAATAGAGATTGAAATGTTATAATAGAGATTGAAAACAGGATGAAAATATCATGCTTTCTTTAAAAAGTTTTTACTAATATCTCAACATTTCTTATGCAATTTTGTAAAGTAAAACTTTTACAACTAGCTTGAAACCTGAAAACAAACTAAAAATTCCATCTAAATTTCAACCAGAAATGTCAGATTTGAGCATTGTGACCAGATGTAGTTATCAGCAAATCTTCATGGTCTGGAACAGGTGGGAACTGGTACCAGAGGCAGCAGCGCAGAGAGGAGGGGGGCAGGCATGAGCTGCTGGCTCTCCCCACGCACGCATTGGCTCCTGGGAAGCTGACTGCCGCCCACATGTTACCCATGTAACTACAGATATTTTCAGTGGTTACACAATGACTGTCACACATTTTAACATCCCTAGTAGTTATTGAGCTGCTTTAGTCCATCACCCAAAAAATATCCCATGACTCCACTCTACCTGTCAAACCATTGCCTATTCATGAGGCTGTTGAATTTATGGGATGTCATCATGACCATTTTCAGATTTAAGCAGCAAGCTTGAAGTGTGTGCAGCTGGTCTTTTGAAAATGATAGAGAGATTTGTACTTTGTCATTTTGTTAGGGTGAGCTATGACTATGGTGACTATGTTAAATTAATCCCTAAAGGGAAAGTCTTAGGCTTTCTCTGTAGTGAAAGTATTGTGTTTTTGTGGCAAAGGAAATATTTGTTTGGTTTTAAGAAATACAGTCTGAATTTTGAAAGACACTTAGTTTTATGTCTTCTGCTGAAGTGATTTTTAACTTTTATACATACAGTACATCATGTCTAATTTTTGATGGTGTTAGAACTTTATGATGCGTCCTTTTTTAAATCTGCTGTAAATTGCTAGCTTGGACTGGGCCATACCAACCATGTCAGAGAGCCAACCTTAATAACTGTTCTACAAGGAAAGAATATTCGACAGATCTCAGCAGGACGTTGTCACAGTGCTGCATGGACTGCCCCTCCTGTCCCACCAAGAGCTCCAGGTGAAAAATAGATGATTGCTTGTTATGACTTTATTCTGCTTTCATGAGCTTTTAGCGCATGTCTCTCTGGGTAGTATCAGGGCCGGCTCTAGGCACCAGCAAACCAAGCACATGCTTGGGGTGGCATGTTGCCAGGGGCAGCATTCCGGTCGCCCCTGAGAGACACTGGCCGGAGAACTCCTGAATTCCTAACCCTTACTGCCTGACGCAGGCCTCCCTGTGCCCGCCCAAGGCAACGGGCCAGGCGGGGTGCATGGACCAAGTCACGCTCGCAGCTCCGCAGAGGTGGTTGAGGCGCCATGACATCACGGTTCTGGGACTGCCTTGCTGTGTTCCCTCGGCACTGGGGAGAAAAGTGCACCCTCTAGTTAGCGTGAGAGGGCGTTGTGGCTGAGTAGGGCGGGGGGGGGCAGCGGCGACAGGAGCACCGGCCACACGCTGCTCAGGTCGCCTTTCCGGCGCAGCT